CGTCTTCCATGGTTACAAGTATAGGAGTGACAATGGCTCTGCAAAACTGCAACACTAATACAGAACAATGTGTTTATATAAACACGTGTCAAGCTAATATCTTTCATGTGTAGCAAATGTGTACAAACACATAACTTCAATCAGAGATATTCTGCCTGAAAATACAATAGGTAAAGAAACAAAACAACAACAACAACTAAATACCTCTGTAAGAAACGGACGGATGTTGGGATATCAATAAACGAAATACCCTCTAGGACACAAGATACAAATGAACCTAACGTAGTAGCGTATTTAGCACAAAACCAAAACATACTTTACGGTAAATATGGTCGAAACAGTGAGGATGATATGTCTGCAACCATGTATACACCTGAGTCGAGACAGCTATTCGGTACCAACATTTTAAAATGTGCTTGTAGCTAATTGTGTGAAAGATGTCTTTCTAAAAGCTCAGATAATTGATGACACGAAGTTCAAATCTCAGCGGTGGGTTACCAAAAATATATGAGATATTTTATAAATACACACCTGTTATATTGCCACATATTACTATTATATGTACAGATAAATTGAATTGGAGGATAATGACTCAACAAGCGAGCTATGCGTTTGAACCACCCGAAATAAAATTAATACTCAAACACTCATTGTGGCAGCTTTTTTGAGTTGAATTGTTTACACCTAATCATTAATCCTGAAGTAACTCACATGGTTTTTGCGTCTTACAGCACTTGTTATAAAGAATTAGCCAAAGGAATTTTTTATATGTGAAATTTATAAAAGACCTTAGATGTAAGAAGTGGGATTAATTACACTATTGACGGTATTTTAATATACGTTGTTTGTGTGGCTCGTAGATTATTATAGATTCTATAATCAACAGAGTAATGGACCCACAAGTGTGAGATTAATTACATTATCTATGGTATTTTAATATACGTTGTTTGTGTGGCTTGTAGGTTATTATAGATCCTATAATCAACAGAGAAATGGACACACAAGTGTGGGATTAATTACATTATCTATGGTATTTTAATATACGTTGTTTGTGTGGCTAATGGTTATTAGAGATTCTATAATCAACAGAGAAATGGACACACAAGTGTAAGATTAATTACATTATCTATGGTATTTTAATATACGTTGTTTGTGTGGCTAATGGTTATTAGAGATCCTATAATCAACAGAGAAATGGACACACAAGTGTAAGATTAATTACATTATCTATGGTATTTTAATATACGTTGTTTGTGTGGCTAATGGTTATTAGAGATCCTATAATCAACAGAGTAATGGACCCACAAGTGTGAGATTAATTACATTATCTATGGTATTTTAATATACGTTGTTTGTGTGGCTCGTAGATTATTATAGATCCTATAATCAGAGAGTTACGTCGATATTAGCCCTTGAAAAATAAAATAAAAACTCAATCAAGTTCAAATTTCAATAGAATCGCTTCAAGGCTCAATAAAGTTTGAGTCGTTTGACATGTTGAAGAGTTTCAATTAGATTATATGTTATATACACAACGATACCGTTTTTCAATATTACAAAACGAAAAAACAAAACAAAAACCATTGATTATCCTTGCATTAACCTGTTCAATATTTGCAGTTCATCCTGTTTCTCGACGGCCCAACAGTGGGAGCTTTGTATTTAATGCACAGTTATAACTTTCAGAGAAGTAAGTATCGAATCATTAAAACGAAATCAGCTCAAGGTACTCAAGTACAGATCGTAATAAACATGTCATATAACATGCTGTAAATAATCTGTCAGGAATAATATGCATGGAATTGTGCTAACGACGCTGCGTCATTATTGAGAAAGTTGAATTCACGAAGAAACTCAGAGAAAGGATGCTTTTGATTCCGTAAACATATTAGATACCGCAGTACTTATTTTTACACTTACAATATTATCATCTTACATGAGAAAACTTTACCTCGTCGCTGGCTACATTAAAGCTATGAATAGAGCTACGTAGTCCCGTACTTACAGTAAAAGGCCCAAGGCGAGCTATAAAAGTTACGTGTCAAAGGGGTTTGTTTGTTTGTTTTGAATTTCGCGCAAAGCTACACGAGGGCTATCTGCGCTAGCCGTCTCTAATTTAGCAGTGTAAGACTAGAGGGAAGGCAGCTAGTCATCACCACCCACCGCCAACTCTTGGGCTACTCTTTTACCAACGAATAGTGATATTGACCGTCACATTATAACGCCCCCCACGGCTGAAAGGGCGAGCATGTTTGGTGTGACGGGGATTCGAACTCGCGACCCTCAGATTGCGAGTCGAGCACCCTAACCACCTGGCCATCCCGGTCAAAGTGAGTAGAAAGGAAATATTTTTTTTACTTTTATGATGATGGGGAGGAGGGGGGGGTATTCTTGTCAAACAAAAGAAAAGTTTTTGATGTTTTCTCTAACGTGGACTCTGTAATCTTCAAAATAAAAAAGTCTCAAATTCTTCTAATACAAGCTATTAACAAACGGGCGACTTGAATCAGGCTGCAATGGTCGCGTCGGAAGTAAAATCAGTTCTAGAACACATTGTGACACTTTAAAAGGTAACTCGTAATTATTTATTTCTTGGTATACAAGCACGATGTGGTATTCTAGATGCCGTTCGTAACATTGTGTAATGTTTCTCTCGAAAGTGACCGGTCACATATACTGAATAATGCTTCCTGAAGGCTACACGCATTTCTATCAAAACTCACCGGTTACACACATTGTGTGATGTTTCCCGCAGTCTATACACATTTCTATCAAAACTCACCGGTTACATACATTGTGTAATGTTTCCTGCAGTCTACACACATTTCTATCGAAAGTGACCGGTTACATACATTGTGTAATGTTTCCTGGAGGCTATATACATTGTATAATGTTTCCTACAGTCTACATACATTGTGTAATGTTTCCTACAGTCTTCATACATTGTATAATGTTTCCTACAGTCTTCATACATTGTGTAATGTTTCCTACAGTCTTCATACATTGTATAATGTTTCCTACAGTCTTCATACATTGTATAATGTTTCCTACAGTCTACATACATTGTGTAATGTTTCCTACAGTCTTCATACATTTTATAATGTTTCCTACAGTCTTCATACATTTTATAATGTTTCCTACAGTCTTCATACATTGTGTGATGCTTCCTACAGTCTTCATACATTGTGTAATGTTTCCTACAGTCTTCATACATTGTGTAATGTTTCCTACAGTCTTCATACATTGTGTAATGTTTCCTGCAGTCTACGCACATTGTGTAATGTTTCCTACAGTCCACATACATTATGTAATGTTTCCTACAGTCTACCTACATTGTGTAATGTTTCCTACAGTCTACATACATTATGTAATGTTTCCTACAGTCTTCGTACATTGTGTGATGCTTCCTACAGTCTACATACATTATGTAATGTTTCTTACAGTCTTCGTACATTGTGTGATGCTTCCTACAGTCTTCATACATTCTGTAATGTTTCCTACAGTCTTC